CAATTAAGCTTATTTTAAAAACAAAGTGAAATAATGATAATTATAATTATAATAATAATATTAATAGTAATATTCTGCCATAATTTCTTCTAGTGAGAACAAACTTGTTTAAATTAAGACAGACAAAAAAGTTTAATATAGCTTAAATAAGTGTATTGTTTAAATTAAAAACATGAACAAAAATAATAATAATTATTATCATTATTATTTAATAAAAAATAAATTATTATTATTAATAATAATAATAATAATAATAATGATAATTATTATTATTATTATTAATATTATTATACTGTGTCGTAATTTCACCTAGTGAGAGCAATCTTGCATTTAATGCTTCTGGTGAACTTGATACTTCCTCGTATTAAAAAAAATAATTTTTGGAATGTGATCATTTGCATATTCGCTTACGTTTTATTTCATTTTCATTTTGTTTTAAACCCGGAAACTTAAATTTTTTTGAGTCAGAATGGAATGTGTCAGTTTTTGTAGCTTTCACAATGTATAGTTTGTTTGTTTGTTTGTTTTATTAGAAATGTACACTATGTTCATTAGTGCTGGTGGGGATGACCAAAAATCTCTATAACAATATTGTTTTAATTAAGATTCTGGAGGTATGCAATTGAACCTAGAGTTTTGTAGTGGTTTAATAGGAGTTTAACTATTTATTAATTTACTATCAAAAACTGCAGTTATTTAAAAATATATTTATAAAACTAGCAGTTAATTTAATCTTATGTTTGTATTGTTTCAATTTAAAACAAAAGTAAATAAACAATTAGAAACTGTAAAATAATAATAATAATAATAATAATAATAATAATAATAATAATAATTATTATTATTATTATTATTATTATTATTATTATATTGTGCTGGAATTGCATTTGCTTTAGGTGAACTTTATACTTCCTCCTTTTTGTTTTTGATCTTTTTTGGAATCTGATCATTTGCATAATTTGTTTAGTTTTATTTTATTTTCATTTCATTTCCACCCTGGAAACTTACATTTTTTTGTGTCAGAATGGAAAGTGATTGTTCTAGTAGCTTTCAATCTTGTATAATTGGTTAATAATAATAATAATAATAATAATAATAATAATAATAATAATAACAATATTCTGCCATAATATCCCTTTAATATAATATGGTTTTCTTTTATATATTAAATAAAAGTATATTATTTTCCTTCTCATTAGTAGTAGTATTGCAAACCTTTTTTTTTTTTTTTTGAAAACCATTTTTTTTTTACCATTTTTTACCAGTTTTACCATTTAAATCCATTCAAAGAGACTCCCAAAGGAAACTTAAATATAGAACCTCAAATCAATAAACGTTGGGACAGTATGGAAAACACAGATGAAAAAAGAAAGTAGTGATTTCTAAATTGACTTTGGCTTGTATTCCATTGCACAACAATACAACAAACATTATTTAATGTGTTCCTTATGATTTTATCTTTTTTAAATAAACACCTCTTCCTCTGCAGCCAGGACATTGTAATATGTGCTGTTTGTGGTTTTGCCTTGTCTTGCAGAAATATTGTGCCCCAAAATCTCTATAATATTTTCAGCATTAATGGTGCCATAACAGAAGTGCAAGTTTCCTTAGCCAAAGGCACTGACACAACCCCATACCATGACAGAACCTGTTTGGACTGATTGTACAGTCTGAATGATCCTTTTCTTTTTTGGTCTGGAGCACTCAGCGTCCATTTCTCTCAAAGAATATGTGAAATTCTGATTCATCTGACCACAGTACGTTTCCACCGTGTTATGGTCCATCCCAGATGCCTCTGAGCCCAAAGAAGTCAACTGTGCTTCCGGACACTGTTAACTGTTAACACTGTTCTCTTTGGCACAGTACAATTTTAACTGGCATTTGTGGATGTAACTACATATTGTGGTACTTGTCATAATTACAAATCATAATTACAATCACCTGTTGACGTCACCTGTTTCACATCACATCATTATTTAACCACTTTACCTGATTACTAGCCCTAAATTGCTCCTGTCCCAACTTTATTTATATTGTGTTGCAGGTCTGAATGACAGAAAAAGGATGTATATTTGCAAATGAAATGCAAAAGTTGACCAGACAAAACATGAAATATGTTGTTCATAGTGTCTGCAATGAAATACAAGTCAAAGTAGATTTGGAAATCGCTTCTTCTTTTAATTGCGTTTTCCATACTGTCACAGCTTTTTCTGATTTGGGGTTGTAAGTGGCATTCTTTTACATTTAACATGTGCTGACAATAGTTCACCCATTCCGGCTGAAATCAAACTTAATTGATATTTTTTTAAATCCGATTCTGCATGTAAGATACCTGTAGATAATACATGTTCAAACTTCTTCCGTTTCATTTTTTACCTCCAGAAAACAGTGCAAACATCACTCCGTTGTGAAATACAGTTCCTCTGAACATGAGCAAGTCGTGTGTGTGGTAACACTGTTAGAGGCCGGTGCTTCTCTATTTGTTTAAAATGCAAATGAGCAGCAGGGAAGTGACATGCTGCCTTTACGGTTTTGTACGGCATCAGAAAATAAACATGCAAACCAACATCTCTGATGGTCTTCTAGAGTAAGATGTGCTGTTAGGTAACAATGGTCGCTATTTTCTGTCGGTGATCGTCCTTCTTAGTCAAATTTTCCTATTTTTTTTCTTTCTCTGCTTTATTTGGACTTAGTTTGTGGATAATATGCGAGGCTTTTTTCTTTTTAAGGTGAGTCCTATTTTATTCTGTAAATATGTGTGACCTTAATTATTTAATTCACCAACATTGGAAAAATTACCTTTTTGGATTTTTTTGGTCGCACTTTAGAATAAAACTCTATTAGTTAGTGTGTTTACTAACGTTAACGAAGTGTAAATAATCTTATAAAGCTTTTATTATAGTTATCATATCATATCATATATCATAGTTCAACATTTACTAATGTATTATTAGCATCCAACGTTGTGCTTAACATGAGTTACATAATTGTGAACATGAACTAGTATTATTTAAACTAACAAAGATGAATAAACGCTGTTATATAGCTTTAATTCTTTGTTCATGTTAGTAAAAGCATTATTATACCATATATTAAAAAGTGTGATGGATTTAAATATTTATGCATTCAGTTATTTATACATTTATTAGTTCGTAAGGAAAGTTACAGATGTGACTGTCGAAAATAGGATTATTAATAATCCTGTAAAGCATTTATTAATTCTAGTTCAACATTTACTAATAAATCATTAACAAAGTTCTGCTTGTTAACACGAGTTAAATAATTGTTAACATGAACTAACGTTAATTAATTTATATAATGTTAACTAACTTTAACAAAGATGAATAAACGCTGTAATGTGTTATTAATTGTTTGTTCATCCTAGTAAAAATATTCACATATATACCTTTTATTTTAAAGTGTAACCAATTTAATTATTTATGCATTCAAACATTGATACATTTGTTAGTAAGTAAAGAAAACTAGAGATGTGACTTAGTCAAAAACAGCATCATTAATAATCTTTAAAGCAAGTATTATGCTTTATTAATGCAATTAGTCATTATTAAAGGTTTGATTGCTTTGCTAGCAGTGGAAACTTTTGAATGCAATTCTTCAGGTTCTTTGTGGCTTAGCATTCGCCTTCCCTGCAGCTAAGGAATTTTTTAATAAAGATTTAATGGCTGATGATCTTCAGTATTGTTCTAGAAATGCTTGATGTATAATTCAAAACCACTAAGACACATATTGGAAACACTTTAAAATAAAGGTCCATTAGTAAATGTTGGTTTATGTACAGTAATTTACCTAGTTAAGCCTTTAAATGTCACTTTAAGCTGTATAGAAGTGCCTTGAAAAATATCTAGTAAAATATTATTTACTGTCATCATGGCAAAGATAAAATAAATCAGTTATTAGAAACTATTATGTTTAGAAATGTGTTGAGTAAATCTTCTCTCCGTTACACATAAATTGGGGAAAAAATAAACGGGGGCTAATAATTCTGACTTGAACATTAACTAGGCAGGTTAGGGTAATTAGGCAAGTCATTGTATAACAATGTTTTTTTTCTGTAGACTACCGAAAATAAATAGCTTAAAGAGGCTAAGAATTTTGATCTAAAAAATGGTTTTAAAAAAAGGTAAAAACTGCTTTAATTCTAGCCGAAATAAAACAAATAAGACTTTCTCCAGAAGAAAAAATATTATCAGACATACTGTGAAAATTCCCTTGCTCTGTTGAACATCATTTGGGAAATATTTAAAAAAGAAAAAAAAATCAAAAGGGGGCTAATAATTCTGACTTAAACTGTATTTATTAACATGAACAAACTATTAGATATAAGTGTATTATGGTATTCATTACTCTAGTTAATGCACAGTAAGTTAACATTAACAAAATGTTAACAAGCTATGAATAATAAATGCTTTTCATGACTATTCATACTTTGGTCATGTTAGTAAATACATTAACTAACGGGACCATTATTTTAAAGTGTTACCCACGTTTTTATTACCCTGACTTCTAAGGACCCACTGTAAAAAAACAAAACAGACCGCATATGCAGTTAAAGACAACGTTATTACATAACGTAGCTCTCCTGTAAAATGATTGGCCGTTGGTCAACGGTGGTTTGTTTGGTAGCCAATTGACACAAATAATAATTTCTTAAGGGGGCTAATAATATTGACCATACAAAAAACGGTTTTAATTTCAGCCAAACTAAAAGAAATAAGACTTTGTCTAGAGGAGAAAAAATATTATAAGAAATACTATGAAAATGTCCTTACTCTTGTAAACATCCCTTTAAAAAAAGAAAAGAAAAGAAAAAAGAACACAAATTTCTGCGAAGGGCTGATCATTTTGCCGTTACCTGTATATTTACACCAGTGGTTAGAGATTTGTGGTTTAAATGTTGTCTTATTATTATTTTTAATTGTATCATGTCTAAAAATAATCATTTCTGTCTTCTGTTTGTTTTATTTGTGTTTGGCAAACAGAAGTCGAATTACGACAAAAATGATTCAGATTCAGGCTCCATACAAGACAACGAGCAAAACGGTGTAAGTATTAACACATTCTTTGTCTTTGTGTGTGTGAATTTGTATGTACTGCATACAGGTATGTGTGACTTAAACCTGAATGCCCACAGACTCATAGGGACTTGTCACCATGGGGACTGGAATTGAGAAACATTCTTATCAACCACATTATAAACATTATATCACACAGAATAAAGTACTTTGGAAATGTAAAAATGTAGATTGTTTCCTTTAAGGGGTTGAATTTGGGGATAGCGGAACAAAATATCTGGTTTGTATAGTAGATACAAAGTCTCTGCCACGATATAGGAACGTGTGTGTGTGTGTGTGTGTGTGTGTGTGTGTGTGTGTGTGATTGTGTTTGTGCGTGTGTGTGTGTGATTGTGTTTGTGCGTGTGTGTGTGTGTGATTGTGTTTGTGCGTGTGTGTGTGTGTGATTGTGTTTGTGCGTGTGTATGTACTTGTTTCTATATCTCAGTGGGGAGTTAAACCTGTATGCCCACAGACTCATGGGGACTTGTCAACATGAGGACCAAAATTGAGATACCCATGGGAAAAAAATCCTTATGAACCACATTATAAGTCCCTACTGCAATATAGGAACAAATTTGTTTGTATGTGCGTGTGCACGCGTGCACGCGTGCTTGTGTGTGCGTGTGTGTGTGTTTGTGAAAGTATATTCGTTGTGTGTGCTTGTTTTTATATCACACTGGGGACTTGATGCCCACAGACTCATGGGATCACCACGAGGAACAATATTGAGATATCCATGGATAAACCTCCTTATAAACCACATTATAAACCTTATATTGCACAGAATAGAGTACTTTTAAAAATGTAAAAATGTAGATCGTTTTCTTTTGAGGGTTGGATTTAGGGTAGGGGAATACAATATCTGGTTCATATAGTAGTCCCCGCTGTGATATAGAAACAAGTGTGTGTGTTTGTGTGTTTTGGTGTGGTTGTTTTGGTCTAGAAGGGTATGCAGATGACATTGCTCTTTAAATGCCCCTGAAATAGACCGTACTGTTCATTTCTGTTCTTTCCCTGAACTCATACTGAAGGTCGAAGGTTTGCTTCCTGACCACACTGAAGCTGATTATAACATAGCCGGTTATGCTAGTTGGTACTGAGTGGAAAACACATACTTGGTTTTATTTGCATGTAAAAACAAATAAATTGTCATATTTATAATTTTTCAGACATACAGCTGTTAACACTTCAGTATGTTCCCTCTGCCGTTGCTCTTGCCACAGCTGCCTCGGCAGCTAATGCGCCTGCAACTTCATCAAAAATATATTAAAAATCAACATGCAATTTTCAGCTTTGCCTTTTCACAATACTAGATGGGATGGTACTGCATGTGTAGATGATGTGATATGTTCAATTAAAATAGGTTTGTTTAGTTGTTTTAGTTTCCCTTGTAATAAACACTACACTATACGGTATTAGACAAAATGTCTACAGTACATGGTGAGAAACATAGCCCATAGGCTGTAAATATTAAGCAAATATAAGAATAAAGTAGTTTAGCCTTTATTAAATTGCATTGAGGTAAAAAGAATATTGATTTCTACATGCTTTAGTTTTATTTAGAATATGAAATCTCAAAATATGCAAACACGTAAATAAATTAAACACAGAATGAAAAGGAATTATCCATTATATATTATATGTTATAATAACACAGAATAAGACACGTTTAATAAAAGCGAATCAAATGTCTATCATTTGAATAAATAAATATTGTCATAATGGAAAGGTGCTTTTTTATTTACTCAGCATGTACGATGTTATTTTTTTCAAAATCTGTCTGATTTGTTTCGCTGCAGGCTACAATGTGTTACGCATACAAGATTGACATTTAATAGGGAAACAACTTCCTTCATTTTTGACCACACAGAATATTTAAAAATAAATAAAATATTTCAATCGATTTAGAAAAGAATAGCAATAATGCAAAATACTCAAGAGCAGACTAATCATTTTCAAAAGTCTGATGCCATTCTACAAAATTAATCCTGGAGATCTAGGCTAGATGCTGTAGAGTTTGCAAGTGTATAATTATGTACTGTACAGTAAGTTTTAATGTTGTCAAAGTATGACAATACTATATCAGGTCCGTCGCCAGGAGGGGTCAGATGGTTTAAAAGACCCACCCCTCACTGACAAAGGTCCCATGTATGAGCTCATTTGTCATATTTTGACTGCTCTGCCATCATAAATAGTAAAATAACTCATCGAAAAAGGTTTTAAGACCAAGTGGAATCCTCTGTCGGCTGTCACGTCAGTGTGACTTTAGCTAATCAGTTTAGCCCGTGCACACAATTATTTTTCATAAGTCCAACATCCAGCTGTGCAAGAAAACATACAATCTGATGAAGTGAAGTCATATTTCTCTAGTTTCTCTACTTACTTTTGTGCAAGTAACTTTTATTCTTAATCTTGGAACAAAAAATGACCAATGAAAAGGTGGGAAACACCAAAAGTGACCGACATTAAAATGAATTTGAATACTGTTTTGGCTATTGTTCTTATCCATGAATTTTCAAATGTTCTTTTTTGGTTATGATGACCATCCAACAATCTATTTTAGCTAGAATAGTGCTTAAAATGCAGTATTTAAATAATTAAATAGTAGCCAAAGTGAGGCCTATAACCTCAGTTTTTAAGAAAAAACAACCACCTCTTTCACCAGGCTAGCTGCGGGCCAGTGTAGGCTACACCTGCTATATATTAGTTTGAAGCTTTTGAAAAATATATGGTACGATTTTATTACACACATATTTTAAGTCAAAATAAACGTTAATTTAGGATGCAGTTTATCTTTGCCCTGCACTAGTTTTGAGTTAGTTTAACTTAAATTGACATTAACTTAAAATATAAAATTTTGCATTACTTAAAAATAAAGCTGAAACCTAATTAACTTATTCAAATAAGTTAAAGTAAAAAAAAAAAACATGTTATGACTTTTTCATTGTATAGACCAGGGGTCACCAATCTTAGTCCTGGAGGTCCGGTGCCCTGCTGGGTTTAGCTCCAACTTGCCTCAACACACCTGCCTGGGTGTTTCAAGTATACCTAGTAAGACCTTGATTAGCTTGTTTAGGTGTGTTTGATTAAAGTTGCAGCTCAAATCTGCAGGACACTGGACTTCCGGGAACATGTTTAGTGACCCCTGGTATAGACCTTTTTTCAAGAGTTCACACTTAGCTGATGATTGATTATAAAGCTTGTTTGGCATCTTGTCCCGGGAGAGAGTTCCAGTAGATCTTGAGAACTTCCTTCTGTAGTAGCTAATGAACAGATGGTAATTGCTCTTAGGAGATAACTACTTACTAGGAGCATGCCTATGGTGGCGATTTGGATTAGTCAATTAACTTTAGTTGTGTGTTTTTGAATGGTGGGAGAAAATCAGGGAACCTGGGGGAAACCCATGTGAGCACGAGGAGAACGTGTAAACTCCGCACTGAAACGTCGGCTGGCTTGGCAAGGACTAGAACCATTGATGTACTTGCTGTGAGGCAACAGTGCTCAGTAAAATTTTCAGTGTAAAATTTACTCAGTTCAGAGAACATTTGGTCCCTCTCTAAATTGAGCAAAATTTACTCCGCAGCAGAGTTAACGTTAATGAGACAATGATGGGGTTAATTAAGTGATGAATGAGCACTGATGATGAACACCTGCTGTGAATAAGCAGAAACAGAGAAGAGAAACACAACACCTTCAGTCACAGCCGTGGATTAAATAAACTGAAATAAAACACATCAAATTTCTCAAAATCTCAGCAAAGGATCATTAAGTAACTCCACAAACAGCAGCTTTACTTATTAACAACCTGTTTGGCCTTATTACTGCCACACTCTATAAAATTCCATATAGTGATAATATTAAGAATTTACTTTTTTTTTACAACAACATAAAAAACACACTTTTTGTATTTAAGCTTTTACCATTGAGGAGAACAGTAGCTGCTTTACTTGGACTCTGACTCGATTTCTATTGTTAGTTTCTCTTTGTTTGCCAAATAGTGTATTGAGGCAAATATTGTATAAAGAGAGCAATTGTGCTTTGGATAATTGAATCTGTGATGTTTTAGTCACTGGTCAAATCAGTAAAATTGGTTTAACCTATTAAGTTTAAGTAATGTTGTATCACAAAAGGAGCACTGTATTAAGAAAATGGAGCTCACCAATACTTTTATCAGATCATAAAACACATTGAACATCTGAAACCCTCAAAACCCACAGACATAAAGAATCAGCATATGCTTCTCAACTATGGTGAGTTTTTTTTTTTCCTACAGTGCATGCTGGAAACTATGGTTAAATGTCGTATGATTGTCTTAACATGTACTGCAGCCAAAAAAACAAACAAACAAAAAATCTCTCACCACTGTTGAGATAGATACGCTGATTATTGATGTCTGTGTCTCTAAAGTGATTCAGATGCTCAATGTATTTTAATATAACACCACAGCTGAGATCCATTCTCTTGAAAAACACTGAATTTTGTTTCTTATATGATAAACCATCACCTAAACATTATTTCTTGTACAGTTACTCTCATCAAGAGTAAGAATTCACACAGGATCAATCAACTTGATCACATGTGCTCTTTTTATACTTGTCAATGCAATTAAAGAAAAATTAACATTAGAAATCGAGTCCAAGTAAATCAACCACTTTTCTCCATGATGGTGACATCAGGCGAAAAAAAAACAAAAAACATGTTTTTTGTTTTTTGTAAAATGTAAATAACTAAAACGGTTAATTCTCAATAAATCTTACATGGACTTTTGTGAAAATCTGACAGAAATAAAGTCAATCAGGTAAGCAATGAGCGAAGCTCCTGCTGCTTCTCTTCTGTTTCTGCTTATTAACAGCAGGTGTTCATCATCAGTGCTCAATCATCACTTTATTAACCCCATCATTGTCTCATTAACTTTAACTCTGCTGCTGAGTAAATTTTACTCAGTTCAGAGAACATTTGGTCCCTCTCTAAATTGAGTAAATTTTACTCTGAAGATTTTACTGTGTGCTCACTACTGGGCCACCGAGTCACCCATCTAGGAAAGGAGGAGGAGTAGGGGTGGAAAGGGGCATTCTTCAAACAAAGATGGCTGTTAGATGGAACTTAGGATATTTGAAGTGGCTTAGGAATCTTCTGATTGGGGAATTATAAATTGGATAATGCGGAACCAGCCGCAAGCAATCATAAGTACATGATCCTCTTGAAATGAGTTTATAAATAATCTTTACTGAGGGATGTAAACAAAAACAATGGTCCCAACGTATTTTCTGTTTTACATTTTTAATTTCTTTAGCTTCTGAGAATCTAAAAATCTTTATCCACAAATTGATAAATTATATTATGATAGCTGTTTTAACATTAAGTTATGATTAAATTGCCTCTTGTGTACAGTTATGAAATAGTTTGATAACAAGCAGGAAATGTTCATGGGCCAATGACATGACCACATAATATTTTAAGGTGTGGATACAATGCAGCGTTCAGATGACAAATAGAAAAGCTCGTTTTTATGGGAGAAAATATGAAATTATTCTCTTTTTTTTGTTTATGTATTCATATTCATGTAATCCAGATTTTAGACATCAGTGCAGAGATGCCAGGAGTGTGTGAGAATCAGCGGGAGTCTCAGAGGACATATCTGCTCACTATCTGCCTGAAGGAGGGCCGTAACCTGGTCATCAGAGACCGCTGTGGTGAGTGTCAGATGTCTGTCTATAAACACAACACACCCTGAAGCACAACACACACCATAATTCATAAAAACAAGCAGTGTTTGTTCTGTGGGGCATTGTTTGTTAAGGTAAGAGCAGGTAGTGGAGCCCTGCAAACTGTGGGTCATCGTCTTGATGTGTTTACTGTAGGTGACGTGTGTTTTTCTTCCATTTTTAATTGACTTCTTCCTTCCTGAGTTTACTCTGTAGAGACAAATGTAAATAAGCTTTCATAACATTGCTCTGTTTGTTTGGGTGGTCCGACATGTCTACTTCTGAATTAACCAATGCCGTGAGTTCGGAGCAGGACTATTTCTAATAACCTGTTTTGCAGGGGATTGACTTGGAGGGAAGTTTTTCAGCTCTAAAATATTGTATCAGTTGAAGCATCTCCGTTTTATATACTTCAAATGATGTGTTTTTAAATGTTCCTAATGTTATCTTTGAGGTTGCCAACATCAGGTTTACATGAATCAAATGTCTAAAGCTAATACATGCTCATTTAAAATGCTTGATTGAGCCTACATCTTCAAGAAACCACAAAATACCCACTTAAACATATATTTGATTGCAGTTTCTATAAAAAAAAAGATCTACAGTTGCGTGAAAAAGTGTTTTCCCCCTACTGACTTCTTATTTGTTGCATGTTAGTCACATTGTATTGTTTAAGATCTTCTAATAAAATGTAAATATTAGATTAGATTAGATTAGATTCAACTTTATTGTCATTACACATGTACAAGTACAATGCAACGAAATGCAGTTTAGGTCTAACCAGCAGTGCAATAGCTGCAAGTGCAGGATACAGGAATAAGTTATAAAGTGCAGTATAGAAAACTATGGTGATATTTACAGATGGATGTACTATGAACATTATATACAGGTTGGATAAGCTATGAACAGATTTACAATATATGAATATATGTGCAGGTTGCTATTAATAATCAGTAGTGTGCAGATAGATAAACATGATTACAAGTGTATATGTTACAATATATGAATATATGTACAGGGATAGATGAACATGATTACAAGTGTATATGTAACAATATATGAATATATGTACAGGGATAGATAAACATGATTACAAGTGTATATGTAACAATATATGAACATATGTACAGGTTGCTATTAATAATCAGTAGTATGCAGATAAATAAGCATGATTACAAGTGTATATGTATAGTGGGTGTGTACATAATTACAAATGCCCATATGCAGTGGTTATGTACAGTTCAATAAGTAAACAGGTCAATGTGGTGCAGTGAATGTGCAAATTTTAAACGTGCAAATGTTAAACAGTGCAGTGATTGCGAGGAGTTTAAGTTAGAGGAGAGTGGGGGGTGTATTGGGGGGGGCAAAAGAGTCAGTGGGGGGCAAAAGAGTCAGTGGGGGGCAGAGTTCAGGAGGGAGACCGCTCTGGGGAAAAAGCTGTTCCTCAGTCTGCTGGTTTTTGTCCGGGGGAGCCTGAAGCGCCTGCCGGAGGGCAGGAGAGAAAACTGTCTGTGAGCGGGGTGAAAGGTGTCCTTCAGAATACTGTGTGCTCGGCGCAAACAGTGTTTCTTCTGGATGTCCTCTATGGCTGGCAGTGTGGTCCCTGTGATGCGTTGGGCAGTTTTCACCACCCGCTGCAGTGCCTTACGCTCAGCAACAAAGCGCATATGAGTCAAAGACAGAAGTAAACACTTCATGCACTTTTTAAGTGTAGGTTTTTATTATTAAAGGAAATCAAAATGCAAAACTACATAGGCCTGTGTGAAAAAGTGTTTCCCTTCCTGTTAAAACACAATTTAACAATGGTTTAGTACAACGAAGTACAATTTCTGTAGCTACATCCAGCCCTGATTACTGCCAAACCTATCCGCAATCAAGAAGTCACATAAAAAGGATCTGCCTGACGAAGTGAAGTAGACCAAAAGGTACTCAAAAGCTAATCATAATGCAGAGACAAAAACAAATGAGACAGAATATGGAGATCTACTTTGGAAAACGTTATAAAGCCATTTCTAAAGCAGTTAGAGCCATTGTCTACAAATGGCAAAGATTTGGGGATGTTTGATGGCAAAAGCTTTTGTTCTTTTCACACTAATGATATTTACAGAGACATATTATTGATGAGTAAAGGATTGTTTTCATGCAGTTCCACACCATATAAATGCCACAGAAAAACTTTTGGTCAACTTTTCTGGTGTGGTCAGTTTGCTAGTAGCTCACTTTATAGAGTGTTGTACTTTGTAATTCAAGTTTTCGAGTTTGAGTTTGGTGAAACACTCTATTCCAGATATAAAAATAATGTAAAATTAACGTAAAACTACATGGTCGCAGTGCACTTTTCTTTTATGTTTACTTCTGAAAACACTATTGGTTGGGTTTAGGTCGGTGGTTTGCTGGCCTGTAACAACAAAACTCACCCTAGCTAACGTATTTCACATTCACAAAAATGTAGAAGGGGCCCTCTAGTGGAAAAACTAGTAGTTAAGCGGAATGAAATGTTCCTGGAGCAAGGCTTTTTTACTTTTTGCAAAAATGTAATGTAAGGCATGTATTTCCAAAGCCTGGGCTGTCAAGAACACAAATGTTCTCATATTATTTATTTGAATATCACTTTTTTAATAGTTTTTGATTAACCCTTTGATGCACTACATGGGTCTAAAGTGACCCATCTAAGCTTATTTTTTATATCTATTTTATAGCTTGTACATCAAAGGATTAATAGTGTTTTAACATGTTTTAATTTAGTAATTTTATCTTCCTCTAAACCCCGCCTTTTCTGAGAGCTCGCACTTTTTTGATTGGTTTGCTAATTTGCCCGGTCTGTTGTGATTGGTCTACCACGTACAGTTCATGTCAGAGATCAAACGCCCAATATCATATCTGAATGTCAGATCCTTCTCTGCACTTGTACTTAAAATGACATGAAATAGCCAATAAAGACCATAAACTGGCATTATGCAAATGAGTTAAAATTCATGCTTTAAAGTGAAACTAAAACTAACTGCATATAAGAAATGTGCCCTACAGCACTAATGCAAATAATGTGCATAATGAAAAAATAATGTTAAAGAACCCCTATTATGAGTTTAGAAAATGAGCTTCCATGCAGTGTGCAACAGCAATGAGTGAATGAAAGCATCCAGCTGAGGTTTCTGTAAGTGCACTGTGTTTAAATCTAGTAATTCTTTAACGAAATAGTTGACTCAGAGTCGAATAAATGAATCGTGTTGGGTTTGGATCTTTTGCTTAAACGTGTCAGACGTCGATATGGTACATCAGCAAATATGAAGTGCCGGTTCCTGTAAAATGTGAAAGCACCTTTCTCTTCAGACACTAGCAGAGCACGGAGGATCACCGGACTGATTATGACATAAAGATGTTGATCACTGACACATGGAGACTTGACTGAGGGGAATAAAGGGTTAAAGTTCAATTTTACAACAACATCACTGTATAGCCAACCGTGTGTTGTGTTTGTTTCTGTCATTTTACGGATTTTTGATACAGTAACCTACACAGCAAATGGCCGACGAGTCTTTCGTTTCAAATAAAGGAAGGAGCAGCAGAGACTTTTATGTATGGGACTTTGTCTGTAACTGTTACAGTTCATATGGACCAGTTTCTTCTTTCTCCAAATCATAACATGTAAGTGTAATTATAATTGTTGCCTCGTTTTCTGTCGTTTGCAAAATATGTGTTTAATTGTATGTTGTAACTTGTAATCGCTCCGCGCGGCTTGTGATCACTTCTATTTCATAGATTAGTTCTTGTACTGTATCTCTCAGGTTAAATCTGTATGGGCTATTTCACGTGCTACGTCCAAAACCACAATGAAAACATGTGCTTCTTCCTTGAGTGATTGAAATGCGATTCTAAACTCGCGATTCTCTGCTGAGGATCTTTTGCCTATGCTTTGGCACCATCAGGTGTTTCAAAATAGTTACATTTTTGCCACTGTGCGGATTAATTCTGAATGTGTGTCATTGTTACTTGGGGTTTGGGTTGAGAGTAGAGTAATATGCTGGTGTTTAACTGCATTGCTTTAATGCTATCCAGCACTTGGCTCTCACATATTCTGCTACTTCATAACCATGTTGGGCGTTTCTCTCTGTCTCATGCTGAATTCAGTCGACCAATCACAACAGACTGGGTCATCGGACCAATTACCGCAAATTAGCTTTGCACTAAGGAGGGGTTTCGGGAACAAATGAATCGCTGAACGATTCATAAGGGAGTCACTGGGATAATTAGGTAAAAATAAATGCATATTATAAGAGAGTGAAAGTGTTTTTGACCTTGCATACACATCAGCCTGTTGGTGGAGACCCCTAAAACCAAAATATGACTTTTTATAATGCATAATAGGGGCTCTATCAATGAAAAATAAAATACAAAAGAGCAAAAAAATAAACCATTGCAGTAACAGAACCTCATTTAAAAAATTTTAACAGGCATGATTAAGGTATAAGAAAACCAGTTTGAATTAAATCATGCTTTTTTTTAATCTTTTGTCTTCTCTACTAATATAGATGTATGTATGCAAGTAAGTATTTTTTGCGAGTACCAAATATGAAAGTAAAGAAATTTTCGATATGCCAATTTATTGTGGTATTTCTGGCTGCAATACATTATTGTTACTCCAGTATTAATATTTGTGTAAATGATACAAAAGACACTGACTGCAGTAGTTTACCACTTTGGCTGCAACACCAAGCTAATGGTGATGAACTATATATCAGAGACGCCCCAGTGTCATTTAATATGTGACAGATGAGCCATTGGAATGGTGAAAATCTCAGGCATACGGATATTTTCTTCTGTTTAAGCTGGACCATTTTTATGGTATTTAAGCATTTCAGACATTTCAGCTATCCAGGAAGCTTCCTTAAGTTTCTTCCTCACAGACCCACTTTCACTTTAATAGATCGCTCTCGTGTGACTTCATACACCTCACAGTAAGAAGGTCACTGGTTCAAGTCTTGGCTGGG